GGCAACAAGAGCAGAGCATGGTCACAGAGGTCCCAGCCATCCCACTGCGAGCGGCCATGGGCCGCACAGGCGCCGTGCAGGACCGCGTGGTCCGCTGCGCGTGCCGCGCCCTGGCCGGCCAGAACCCAAAGCTCGACACCAAGGAACATGACATCCACAAGACGGCCGTCGATGCAGCGCCAGACACTCAGAAGCCGGCCATCCAGGAGCCCAGCATCAAGGAGCTGGCCACCCAGGAGCCGGACATCGGTTCGGAATTAGACATCGACATCATGCAAGGCCTGCACCGGCGACGGCATCCCCCTCGCCCTCCTGGAGCACGACATCGAGTCGGTGGGCGGCGCCGAGGTTCGACCCGTGGGCGCCTTCAACGTCCTCCCCGACCCTGCCACCCAGCCGCAGTGGGACCCGACGAACAAGAGGGGCACGTTCCTGGGCAACTTCGAGCAGCGGCTCGCGCGTGGCTTCTCCGCCGTCTTCGACGCGAAGCCCGTGACCGACCGCGAGCTGCACGAATGGATGATGGTGTGTGTGCGAACTTCGCGTCGGAGGAGTTCTGAGTGCTGTTCACCAGCCTCAACAACTTTTTCGGGGATGCAGCCAGTGATGGGGCGCTGGCTGCCGCGAGTGTCCATGATGATTATGTGGTCCAGTTTTGCTATCCTCCTCCCCCTCCTGAATGTGCCCTTCTTCCCGCGGCGGGCTGGCCTCCTAGCGTTCAGATTATCCCCTCTCTCCCTCTTCCCTGTTGCTGCCTTGCTTGCGACTGCGCTTGCTGCTTCGTCGGGCCGCCCGCTCGTCCTCCCTCGCCCGCAGGTGGACTGGCCCGCCGCTGCTCCTGGCCGGCACCACGGCTACCGCCACCGCGACCGCGACCAGCGACGCCAGCACTGCCACGACGATTGCCACGACCGCGGCTTCGACGGCTACGTCCCATCCCACGACCAGGCCCTCCCCCACTCCCACGCAAACTACCACGCCCTCCACCACGACTACGACCAGGGCCACGACCATGACCACGACCAGCGACGCCTGCACTACCACGTCGACTACCACGTCCGCGTCTACGACGCTTACGACCCCTCCCACGACCATGAGTACTCCCACTCCGACGCCAACTACCACGACCTCGACTACAACCACGACCTGGGCCACGACCACTACCACGACCATGACCACGACCAGCCACGCCTGCACTACCACGCCGGCTACCACGACCGCGGCTACGACGCTCACGACCCATCCCACGACCATGTCTACTCCCACTGCCACGCTAACTACCACGACCTTCACTACGACCGCGACCAGGGCCACGACCGCGAGCATTCCTACGGCGACGAGGGACGCGATCGCGGCCACCACCACTGCCACGTCCAGCGACGGCAGGTACGACTTCTCCCACGACCACGCCCACGCCCGCTCCCATGCCAATAGTAACTACCACGACCTCCACTACGACCACGACCGGGGCCACGACTGCTACCACGGCGACATCGACCACCACCGACGCCAGCTCTGACGGCGTCGCCGGCATCAGCTCCGCCGGTGGCTTCGGCACCACCTCCGACGGCGGCCCCCGCGCCGACGACTCCGACACCAGCTCCAGCCGCGACCCCGGGGCTGGCTCCGGCGGAGATGCCGATGCCAGTTCTCACGACGTCTGCGGCGTTGGTTCCGAAAGCAATTCCGACGGCAGCATCAACGAGGCTTCTGACGCCTACCACGACAGCGGCACCAGCGCTGGCCCCGACGACGACACCGTCGGCGTCTCCGACGCCCGCTCCGACGGCAGCCCCACGGCCGTACAGTTCGATGCTCCCGACGCCAGCTCCGAGGGCGACACCGGCGACATCTTCGGAGGAAACTTTGACGCCAGCTCCGAGGGCGACCCCAGAGCCAGCTCGAGTGGCGACACCTGCGCCTACGTTGGCATGTCCGCCAGCGCCAACGCCAGCGCCTACGCCGGCACCAACGCCAGAGCCTACGCCACCGTCGACGACAGCACCGACGGCAGCACCAACGCCGGCGCCTACGCCTGCATGAACGCCAGCGCCTACACCAGCACCAGCGCCAGCATCGACGCCAGCGCCAACGCCCGCGCCTACGGCGGCACCAACGCCAGAGCCTATACGCCACCGTCGACGACAGCACCGACGGCAGCACCAACGCCGGCGCCTACGCCGGCATGAACGCCAGCGCCTACACCAACACCAGCGCCAGCATCGACGCCAGCGCCAGCGCCCGCGCCTACGCTGGCACCAACGCCAGAGCCTACGCCACCGTCGACGACAGCACCGACGGCAGCACCAACGCCGGCGCCTACTACGCCGGCATGAACGCCAGCGCCTACACCAGCACCAGCGCCAACGCCCGCGCCTACGGCGGCACCAACGCCAGAGGCTACGCTACCGTCGACGACAGCACCAACGCCGGCGCTTACGCCGGCATGCGCGCCAGCGCCTACACCAGCACCAGAGCCAGCATCGACGCCAGCGCCAAC